CACACCCACACCCCCCCCCACACACACACACTTGAGCTCATTCAAACAGAATAGCTGAGAACGCGTCTAATTTATCGACAAGTGGAGACCGACTTAAAAAGCAAGCAAGGAATAGCATAAATGTATACAGTAAACACTTGGTGATAACGAGGCCGAGGTACTCTCCAATTCGATCGGTTAAGAGACTATTTCGGAGGCAGGATTTGTATACAGCTCAGCATCCGAGAAAAGAGGTAAAATAAAACGAATTTTAAGGAGGAGAAAAGTTCACGAGGTCACGAGTTCTTGCTTGGTTTTAAGAAAGAAAATAATCTCTAAGACAACTCCTGTCAGTTGTATCATCACAGTGGTTCAAGAGAAAATTAAAACTGAAATATAATATCTGGAAATGAAAGGTGGACAGAGGTGTTGAATCAGCATCAGGTTATAATCATAGTGTTTCGGAATTTATCGACGATTTGCGACCAAATCGGTCAAGGTTTTAGTAAAAGGCGAGACAGAACATGTTCCATGTAGATAATGCTCATAGGAGAAAAAGTGCGTTAAACATATGGCATTCACGGCAAGTGTCGTGGATATGCCCCTAATAGGGGCGTGCTGTGACAATCTCTGGGCTGAGAGCATGTAATCAATATACGCCTTTCAAAATCAGCTCTTCTAATGCAACCTGTCCTGTAAGGATAAACTACGATAATCATAGTCTTTCGATCTTTACTACAGATAGTCGTTAGAAGCTTTTATGTTTCTTAAGGGAGGGGGGGGGTAGCATTAGAACCCACCAAAAGCCTTATTTCTTTCCATACCAGACATGTTTGTCACCACCATTACCTCTTAAAGTCAATCTTTTTATTTTCTGTATCGCCCGTTTTCTCAAAATGCGGGTTTTCTATATACTTTTTTGAATAACTCCACCACTTTTCTTCAAATCTTTATGAATTTTTTTCAGAATAAAGAGCAGATGTAATACTAAAAATTTATTAATTTAATTTTTGACATATGGAAGAGATTTTTTCTTCGTGCTGTCTGGAGTGTGGATTTTCACGAATTTGTTTGCAAACTTGAATACTACCTCACGAAAAAAATTCATTTAAAATCTTCTAATTTGTTTATGCAAATTTCAAAACAAAAAAATGTTGTTAACACTTGTGCAAA